TATTTATTCTGACCACATCATATTGAATTTTTATTAAAAAAATTAAATATATTTTACATCAAAATAATTTAGGGGGGCTGGAGCCCCCCTAAAATAGGCCTAGTGCCACCGCCTCTGTACCACAGATGAAATGTGGTTCTCCAGCTACACAGTGCAGGTCTGACATCCACACAGCTGCTGGATGCTGAGTGGAGTTGATTGACTGACTTGTTGCTCGGGTGCGCGCAGTGCGCMCAGAGCAAACAGACGCAGCAGAACTTTGCGCCTGGATGATTTTAGCGCACGTACCTTGTGCAGTTTCCACATTGCGCCCAAAGCTTTGACTTCGTGCGTGCCGTGTTTCCCCTCCTCCAGACACTGATAGCACACAGGCATCTTGCACTGCACGCAGTACATGCTCAGGTTCTCCAGCTCGTGCTCCGTGCAGGTGGAGATTTTGCGCGGACTGGCCCTGCGGCTGATCCGGCCCTGCGCCGGCGGAACCAGGCGGTGCTTGGCCAGCGGACCGCGGGGCGGGTGGCAGCGCAGGCGGCACGGGTCGCAGTAGAACACGTCGCACTGCTCACACATCACCGTGGCCTCCTTCGGGCTCTTCTCGCACAGCTGACACTTCAGAGCGGCCGCTTTGCTCTGCTGGTACCGGTCCACCACCCCCTCCAGGACCCGGTTCTTAGGGAACCCGCGGAGTCCCCGCTCGTCCAGAATCAGGCTGCGGTGACACTGCGGGCAGGTGATGCAGGAGTTGCGGGGGATCGGGGGTAAGGAGGCCGGGTGGGGCAGGAGAAGGTGCTGCTGGGGGGCAGGCTGGGGTACGGASGGGGGGAAAACCCGAACCCCGTTGGGTGATTTCTGGCAGGGGGTGGTGGGAGCGCTGACAAACCCCCCGTAGGAGCCGTAGCCGCTGTCTGACTCACTGTACAAACTCATCTTATCCAGATCCAGGTAATCATAATCAGACACGGCAGAACCGGAGGCTCGGCTGCTCTGAGGGGACTCAGCCTCGGGGGTCTGCACGAGAATGTTCCGCGCGCACGCCTGACAAATGTTGTGTGAGCAGGGCAGGATGATGGGCTCCCGGAAGAACGAGCCGCACACCGGACACTTCAACTCTTCCTCCATCTCATCCATGGCTGCTGCTGCTGTCCGCGGGAGAAACAAAAAAATTAAAATTAAAATTAAAATWAAAGCAGGACCAGCAGAGGTTCGGTCCGCTCTCAGCTCCGGATCCGTCCAGATTCAGATACTGCAAGAGCGACCTGGACCAACAGCACGGAGGGAGGCAGGACCACCCCCACCAATAGGAACACAGCATCAGCTCAGACTGAAAGCCTATTGGCCAGCAGGTCTGTCAGTATGAGTTAATGAGTTTAACACTGCAGAGACTGCTCTGTTTCTGAATCAAACACTGCAAATAAACTCTTTTTAAAATAAGACTCTGTAATCTTTAATCTGCCACATGAGGTAAAGATAAACTGTCTTAGGAAATGCTCTTAATCCGATTAGTCTTGTCAGGGAAGCAGCAGCATCACAACATAAACATGAAACTGTTATTTGTGTCAAACACTGACAATGATCTTTATTAAACTGTTGTCAGTTTCAGTTTTCAGGCACTTTATATTGTAGGGGAGACCGGGGACAGTTGTAACATTGTTTGGGGGTGGTTACAACATATTATTATTACAATATATTTCACTGTAAAAAAAAGTTTGATTATTTTTATATTTATATTATTGCTAAATGAATAAAACCTGTAAGTT